TCAAGCACCCAAAAAACTGCTATTGCTGGACTGATGCCAAAGGCTCCCAATTTCTAGGTGTCAGGTGTATTTCGATGGAGGCTTCATCTCAGGTTTATTTGTTCTATGACAGCAATTTAAAAAATTGTACCTATCTCCGAGCTGTCTTCAGGAATAAAAGAGTCCACTCTGCAGATATGTGCCAGCTTGGTTATACGCTGAGCCTTCAGGCCTATCACAGACACAAGAAATTCCACATCTTGTGAAAAATGTGTCATTTCCATGGCATTTTCCCTTTGAGAATATGTGTGTGCACTTTCTGTGCCAAAGACAGTAGAAAGTGTAACAGAGCATGTGCTGGGTGAGGGAATGAGCTGCGGCTGAGCAATGCACTTCAACTGCCTGTGGAAACTCTCAGGCTGGGGATTGTCTCTGTTTCTTCCCTTTATATCAACAAAGAAGCATCCAGTTTATTCAAAGTACCAGTGTTGAATCTGTGCAAAACATTAATTCCTTTGTCTGATTCAAAATCCACATCTCTTGTATTAAGCATGTAATTATGCGCCATAATAATGCCTCACGTTTTCCTAAGATTTTATATTTAACCAACTTCATGTCAATTATATCACTGAACGCTAATTCCCTTTCCCCATTCTCTTGCACTGCCAACTCTTCCCTCAGAACACATACTCAAGAAGCATGGAATGTTGACCATGTTTAGAGGTTGAGGAAATGGAAGTTTGCAGAGGGTAAATGATGTCCCAAAGTTAGAGAAACACCAACTAGAGAAGCAACTGTGTAAACAGACTATGAGCTGATGGTTTTGTTTTTAGGGACACAGCTCAAATTCCCTAGGACGGTGATTTGCTTATACTACACCATTAGATGGAAGCCCAGCTCTTGCACAGTGATTTCTGGCATTTCTGAGTGTAGAGGTATTTCTCCTTCTTCGCTCTCCCTCCATACCTGCTCCTCACACTCCATAAACTTCTCCCTTATGATGCCCTGCCATCTGCTATTTCCAGAGTCCACTCACAGATGTGCTGCTTCTACCAATAAACTGTGAGCATGTGAAGGGTGGTGCCCAGGGCTGACTCTTCCCTGTATCTGTTGACCCCACCCCAAGTACTAATGTAGGTCCTGGGGTGGAATTAACGTTTGATAAGTGAGCATGAAACAGGAGCAATGATGGCGAGCAGTTAAAGATGAGGAAAATTAAGAGTTGGAAGGAAACTATTGATCCCCTATGCATGTCGGGCTGTAGCCTCAGTCCTTTACAGTTATTCTACATTAATTTCTGACTTCCTATTACTGCCCTCATCAAAAAGAGGAAGAAAATCACACCTGGAGAGATTAAGTCATTTGCCAGGCACCAGGACTTGCATCCAGATTGGGCAATTCCCTAACCGGTACTCTTTGTACTAAAAGACAACCCCAGGTGAATTGGCAGGATCCAAAGACTAATCTTGTTTATATTCACCACATGAGCATAATTTACCAAATACCTGAGAAGAAACAGGATAGGAAATTTTCTGTGTGTATTTTATCTGTGCAGGGAGCATTGGGGTCTATTTTCACTGGCTTTATCCTTTTTTTTTTTTTTTACTTAAAACTAATAACAACTGAATATTTTCCACTGGCATATAAATGGATGTCTCAATTGCAAAGGTACCGAGAGCTCAGACTTACTTAACTTTCAGTTTAGGTATCCACCCTGCATTGCACAATCATCAAATGGGATATGATGCAATTTTTTTAAACAGACTTTGCAAAACAAGTATTGAGTAACCGGAATCTCTTTTTCCTTGTATGTGCCTAGCAACCTTGCAGGTCTGTTTAACAGGAAAAAAATTGCCTTTGGACAGCAATTCAGAAAGATACTGAAAGGCTGAGAAAAGCATGAGGCTCTGGAGTGTCGCAATCAGTGGGCCAGGCTGATTTAACCAAGAAGGAAGTGCATGGGCTCCCCCGTTGCTCCGCCCCTCTCCGTGTAAGGCAGCAGGGTCAGAGAGAGAAACCAAATTCATCTGACACATTCCTCTGTTTACTTTGTGGACTGTAGGGCCTGGTGAAAAACTTTCTAATATATATATATTTTATTGTTAAAAGAACGATGCAACATTGCAGAAATTTTTGAAAAGTGAAAAATTAATCGTGCATCATTTCATCACCCCAACAAATGTGTTTTCGGTTTTATTTATTTCCTTCCAGGCGTCCTCCTCATTCATACATATTTTACACACTGGGACAGAATCCAGGAAACGCCATCTGCTGAGCACTATTTGGTCAGAAACTGGACTCAATGATTTAGATTTATAATCAAATTTATTTCTGACAAAATTCCTCCAAGGTCAAAAGATTGTCTCCATTTTACAGATAAAAATACAACCATTACCTAAGAAAATGTTAGTACCTGCCTGAAGTTCCCTGGTCAAGTTATGAATCTGGGATTCAAACATAGTTTTGTTTGCCCACAGAACCAGTGGTTTATTCTACATCATTGTCGCTCAGCTTTATATTTTTCTCATTTACCATTATATATAAGTATGTTATTTTATGATACTCATCTATATTAATATGTTAATATATGTAATCGAAGTACTAATGATATGTCACCATTTACTCTACAATATTAAGTTTTGGAGCAGGTATTAATCTCAGCCTGCAAAAAAATTAATTTTGCAAGAATGTAATTGTATTTTCTATACATGGACAATATTCATTTCAAACCTCTGCTTTGCTACATGGTAGATTAATCTCATCAACTGGGGACTTATACTCCTGAAACCTGTAAAATTCCAGAGGTTGTTTTTGTGTTCCATGTTCTTAATGAGTGCCATGATGGGGTAAAAAGCCACGTGACCCTTAGATGTTTACCTCTGCCCATTGTAACATCCCCTGGGATGGCCTAATACCCTTCCAACTCCTAGTTATGTGTCCTTAAACGCCACTCTGCATCCTCCTTTGCCCAACTGCAAAGCCTGTGCCTGTCTGGCTTAACGTAGCCACTCCTACGCCTCTCTTCAGAGCAAGAAACAGGGGTAGCAGAACTCAATGAATTGGTTTTCCACGCCCTCATGGCTCTGGCTTTCCAAGGTCTTGCTTTCTCATTAGTTGGATTCCTATTTACAACGGATCTGCTGCATTTCCAAAGACGACTCTCAGCCACAGGCTACAAAGTTATCAACAGTGGCTGTGATGATTGGGGATGAAACGTGGGATGAGTCAAGGCAAGAGATGACATGCAAGTGGTACTTAGAAGTGTAGCTTCCGGCCGGGCGCAGTGGCTCAAGCCTGTAATCCCAGCACTTTGGGAGGCCGAAATGGGCAGATCACGAGGTCAGGAGATCGAGACCATCCTGGCTAACACGGTGAAACACTTTCTCTACTAAAAACACAAAAAATTAGCCGGGCGTGGTGGCAGGAGCCTGTAGTACCAGCTACTCTGGAGGCTGAGACAGGAGAATGGCCTGAACCCGGGAGGCGGAGCTTGCAGTGCGCCGAGATCGCGCCATTGCACTCAGCCTGGGAGACAGAGCAAGACTCCATCTCAAAAAAAAAAAAAAAAAAAAAGGAAAAAAAAAAAAAAAAAAAAGGAAAGAAGTGTAGCCTCCTTATAGATGACCAGTGAGTGGATGCATTTGTATTAGTTCTCTGGAGAAACAGAACCTATAAGATGAAGATATAGATATATAAAAATGAGATTTATTTTAAGAAATGGCTCTGATGATTCTGGGGGCTTGGAGAGTCCAAAATTTAATAGGAGAAGCTGGCAGGCTGAAAACAGGAAAGAGTTTCAGTTTCAGTCCAAAGACAGTCTTCCAGAGAATTCCTTGTTGCGGGAGGGAGGGAAAGTCAGTCTTGTCAGTCTTACACTTTATTCAGGCCTTCAGACGGTTGGTTGAGGCCCACTTATCAATGTGGAGCACTGTGGAGAGGTGAAGTCGCCTGGGCTTCTGGGTCGGGTGGGGACTTGGAGAACTTTTCTGCTAGCTAAAAGATTGTAAATGCAGCAATCAGTGCTCTGTGTCTTGCTAAAGGATTGTAAACACACCAATCAGCACTCTGTGTCTAGCTAATCGGGTGGGGACTTTGAGAACTTTTCTGTCTAGCTAAAGGAATGTAAACGCACCAATCAGCGCTCTGTGTCTAGCTAAAGGTTTGTAAACACACCAATCAGCGCTCTGTGTCTAGTTAAAGGTTTGTAAACGCACCAATCAGTGCTCTGTGTCTCCCTAAAGGTTTGTAAACACACCAATCAGCACTCTGTCTAGCTAATCAGGTGGGGACTTTGAGAACTTTTCTTTCTAGCCAAAGGATTGTAAATGCACCAATCAGCACTCTGTGTCTAGCTAAAGGATTGTAAACACTCCAATCAGCACTCTGTGTCTAGCTAAAGGATTGTAAACACTCCAATCAGCACTCTGTGTCTAGCTGAAGGTTTGTAAACACACCAATCAGCACTCTGTGTCTAGCTAATCGGGTGGGGACTTGGAGTACTTTTCTGTCTAGCTAAAGGATTGTAAATGCACCAATCAGCACTCTGTGTTTAGCTAAAGGATTATAAATGCACCAATCAGCACTCTGTAAAATGGACCAATCAGCACTCTGCAAAAGGGACCAATCAGCACTCTGTAAAATGGACCAATCATCGCTCTGTAAATGGACCAATCAGGAGGATGTGGGTGGGGTCAGATAAGGGAACAAAAGCAGGCCACCCTAGCCACCAGCAGTAACCCCATTGGGTCCTCTTCTGTGGTGTGGAAGCTTTGTTGTTTCACTCTTCACAATAAATGTTGCTGCTGCTCACTCTTTGGGTCTGTACTACGTTTATGAGCTGTAACACTCACTGCAAAGGTCTGCAGCTTCACTCCTGAAGCCAACGAGACCACAAACCCACCATGAGGAAGAAATTTTGGACACACTTGAACATCTGAAGGAGCAAACTCCAGACACACCATCTTTAAGAACTGTAACACTCACCTTGAGGGTCCACAGCTTTATTCTTGAAGTCAGCAAGACCAAGAGCCCACTGGAAGGAACCAATTCCAGATACACTGTGGGCTTTAATCAAAGTCCACAAATTAATCTCATCCAAAACATCCTTACAGAAACATCCAGAATCATGTTTCATGACGTATCTGGGCACTGTGACCCAGACAAGTTGACACATAAAATTAACCATTACAACATCCCTTACATGAGCAGGCACCATGAACACAAACAGCAAAAAGGGGAAACCTGTCCAAGGCTTCTTTGGTGGGATACATCTCCGAGGCCTCTCTGCTGATTATTCTAATCCACATTCTCAACGTTTCAGTATTGCTCCAAGAAAGGGCATTTTCTAAGAGATTTTAAAAAGCCTGTATTTACAGCACATGAATTAATTCATTTGAGAAATATCAACAGTGCCAGGCACTATTCATCTCTATAGATTCACAGGTGCACAAAATCCTATTCTTTTTGTCTCAAGGAATTGACTTAATGCAGATAGAAAACAACTAAACAAGAAAGAAGAAACACTACAATAATTGCTTAGAATGCAATAATCAAAGGTGCTAAGGGACTTTTCCATTTTGGTCTTTCATTAGTTTTCCTTTAGTGGTTTTCATGTTAATGTTATGCCACCAGTCGCCCCCAGGGGTGTTAGAAGAGACAACCCTAAGAAATGTGCCATTGTGTCGGTGGTGGGGACGCCATGGAAGGTAACATGCACAGCTTCACATGGTGGCTGCCCTATGAAAACGTGGGGCAAGCAGTATCTTGATTTTAGAAAAATAAATAAATCTGTGTTTCTTCTCAGCCACTGGCTCATTTTTGCCTTGAGGACCAGTTGACTTTACAAGTGATGATACATGTAGTTTTTCTTTGTCTTAGCTATAAAGAAGAGAAAAGACAAATGTGGGTACAATCTGTAGTAACCCCGTAGAACCATATGGCATTCGTTCTGCAGACTGACTGTGCCCCAGAGTGTCTCGTCTCTGCTCTCTCTTTTACTTTCTCTTTATTCCCTTATTTTTATCACTAGTTTTAAAAAATATCTTATTGTAGTAAATGGCCCTTTGACAGCCAACTCAGATCCATTTTGGAAAGACATAGAAAATTAGGTAGGTGGGTGGGTGGGTGGATGGATGGATGGGGAGACAGTTTCCTTTGATAGAGCTAAGGAAAATGTCATTGAAATAATGACACCCTCAGGCTTGGTCTAAGAGGATGCATGGCTGTTCATTGGAAGGGAAGGAGGGCTGTTTCTACCTGAGGTAGGTAGTAGGGAGGGATGGGGAAGCTGGATTGCACTAATCTTTGGTGAACAGAGCTAATTAAGTAAGTTACTTAGTAATCACATCATCTGGTTAATGCAATTCAGAATGAGTCCCAGCTACTCTGGTCATTATGCTGATGGAAAGCTTTTTGAAAAAAAAAAGGCCATCTCCCTATGCTCATCCTGTAATTATCCATTTCTTGCCTACCTCTTGCTGTTTTTGATAAGAGCCATTAGGATAATAATTATAGACTCAACTAATGTATTAATAACTCTGTGGACGTACATGTCTTGATGACTCTGTGAAAGACTGAAATATGTTAACCTTTTAAATGTCTTCAGTCACAGGCTGTGTCAGACTTTTATTAATGACCCAGTTCAGCTGCCCAAACTCCAGCTAGCTGCAAGTGCATATAATGTGTGGTTAACAAAGCCTTTTCATCCTGCTCATGGTCACTTCCCTTTTTAGGAACGTGAAATGAAATACTGTGTTTATCCTGTATATCCTAAGAATGTACGTCAGCTGCAAGCCCTGAAATAGACACGGTTTGCTGCCCTAAATATTTGATTCTTGAGTCAAGTTATTGTAATTGCTAGACATCCTTCTCTAAATATAGAAGGACAGTGGAGCTGCACATTTGAAATAAACATCGTGCTCACATATAACACAGTTTGGATTTGATTTTTTAAAAATAATTTCCTCAGGTTTGGTGAGTGCAATAAATGATGAGACATTTAATTCATCCAAAATCCTACAGCTTTAAGGAGACATGATTAAGAGGTCTGCGGGTTATGAAAGGGTATTTCTAGCAGTTAAAAGAATGCAGTTACTACAAGACAGAAACTTCAACACACCCTTTTGTAAAACCATTGTTAATCTGCCATTGCCCCAACTCTATGGCTGCTGTTTCGCTGATAAGTATTTTCAGATTAAAGAGTGAAAGCAAATACATTTACCACAGACAAAAACACGTATTCGGGGACGTGACTGCCTTTGAACTGTTTGATAGCTTATCTCCTACCACCGGGGCATTAAGCTAAAGTTGCAAGGCTGCCTGATACCTGCAGAAATAGCCCTGGGACAAAAACATTTTCAAGTATTCCTGCCTAGTACATGCTAAAGTTAGAGAACAAAATAAAGGACTGAAAGCTCCTGTGTGTTTATGGCATGCAAGATGCCCATCACTCAGCCTTCTTACCCTCATGTCAGATTTGATCTACTTTTCGACACTGAAATCGAGATTCCAATCTTCAATTTGAAAGCAGTTTGGCAGAGTTGGGGATAGGTAGGTTCCTTGAATTTAAACTTCATGGGAGGAGGCATAAATATGGTTTGTTTATTTGAAGGAGTCATAGAAAAAGGAGTTTTCTAATGGTTGTTTAGAAGGTAATAGTCAAAGCTTTCAAATATATAGCATTTTATAAATTCCTTAATATATAATAAATAATATATTTAAGTATTAAATATGTACTATGTATTAAAATATTAAATATCTATATTATATGCTTAATACTTTAATGTGTCATATTTTATAAATTCCTCTAAGGAATTTATTTATAAAATATTATGTATTTAAGTATTAAATATATAGTATATATTAAAAATTTTATAAAATACACTAACATCTATGTATATATACATATACACACACACATACACACATCAAGATGAAAAGAAAGAGAAAATGCACTCACCTGGGACCAGCTTGACAAAGCTTGATGAGTTCTATCAATTTATGTCCGATACTCTTCTTTTTTCCATCATCAATTTATGTAGTTAACAAATATTTATTGACACTTACTACTTATCTAGTGCTGTGCAAGTTGCTGAAAATATGAAGCAGATTAAGACAGGCATTTTCTGCCAAGTTTGCACAAACAAATGCAAAGAAGATTGAACTTTCTTGAGAGGACTGATTATGAAAGTAAACAGAGGGACTCCAAATGCTCCAAGAATGGGCACCATCCCCTGACTGAGTGGGGGAGAAAGGAGAGCACCAGAGGCTGCTTCCTGAGAGGGTAGTTGTATTTATTTCTCATGGCATTTGCTATCCCTTGTTGTTTGGATATAACAAAGGCAGAGGCATGCGTTAACCATGCTTCTTTGTTCATGGCTTATCATCAACAAGTGTATATGGAAGGACCTGGTGCTATTTTTGTTTGTTAATATATTTGTTTATTTATTTTTGATTCCCCTTTCTCACCATTTCTCACTCCCAATTCTCCTATCCCCATTATCAGGAACAATTCTATGTTGATGTCTGTGTGTCCTTATACACTGCGTGTGCTATCGTTTTATAGGCAGGCATCTTAATTCCTCCAAGTGGCATCGTTTTTTCATTGTTTTTTATGTGCCATTATGTTCCTTTTTCACCACGCACTATGTTGTTAACATTCGTCCATCAGCCACATATTTGTTACTTCCAATTGCTGTATAACAGTCCACCTCTGTCTATGCACCAGAATAATGGGGGTGCACAGGTGTTCTCCATCTCTATCTCTGTGCACAATGTCCTTGTGAGGTCTATTGATAAGCATTTAAGAATTTTGCTGTCTTTTACTAAAAACAAAGTATTCAGTATTTCTAGCATGTGCCTAGTAGGTAACACAAAGATGTAAAGCCCACGATCCTTTTTCTCTAGAAGTTAGTTGTAGAGCTGGAGTGGGAAGGAGGATGTATGATCTGTAAATAAGTTACTCTTATAAAAAGAGACAAGGGCTAGATCAACAATTCCGAAATGCAGGAGAAGGTAACTGGCATTTTTCAAGCATCTGCTATAGGCTGGGCTTTTTGCTGAGAATTTCCCAAGCACTGGAAAATTTCTCTGGTAAGCATAAAAGGAGGGAGACTTATAAGGGAAAAACCTAAGAAACCTACTTGGAAAATGCAAGATTTATTCCAGGAAAATAGAGCTCTTCAAGCATAGATGACAGCAGGAAGAACATTATGGTCAGAGCAAACCTAAAGAATAAAGGATGAGTGCTCAGAACATGTGGGGCATTGGTCAGGGAGCAAGGCTTAGGTCCATTTGAGGAATTCATAGATTGTATAAGAAATGGTGGGCATTCCTTAGAAATTCATAGCATGTGAATTTAATAATATTTTAAATTATGAATAGAGGTGGTTTCCTGGTATCTAATCCTCTCAACTAATATGTGCCATGTAATATTCTAAAATCAGTGATTACAGAGATGAACCAAAGAGACTTGGTCAACATCCTAATGGAATCTAAATTCTAGTGGGTAAAAGCAGATGATAAATAAGTTAAGACAGAGCAGATGAATAAATAAGCAAACCAAACACAAAAATATAAGATACTATGTGCTAGTTCATAGGCCACTATATGAATTAAAAACAACTGTCTCCTCTACAAGGACAAAACAGAGAAGAAAAATACCACTCCCACTACGAAGAAAGGCTTGTCTACTCAATACTGCCTCTTACTAATACAAAGAAGATGTTCCTCTAGAGCTCAGGAGGAATCTGTGAGTCAGATTTCAACCCACACTCATCCTCCCAGCCTGCAGCCATGGGCAGTGCCCAAACCAAGCAGCCCTGGACATGGACACAAGACAGGGCCATGTGTTAAAGAAGGAAAAGAGGTAGAAGGCAGGTATGTCAGTCAATACGATCTGGGATTGCCCTGCAGAAATGGTGATATTTGTCCTGAGATGTCAAACAAGAGAAGCAACCTTTTATGCAGCATTAAGGGAATGTCACTCTGGACAAAGGAAGTAACAAGGTCAAAGGCTCCAACACAAGTGCTTATTATACATTTGTCCCCAGACCAGAAGGGCCAGTGACTAACACAAGAGCAGAAGGCGATACAGAGATAATAGGGGCCCAACTACAGAAGCCATGCTGTAGTGTTTGGATTTTAAGATTTTACTTTAAACGGTATTTGTATGCTGTGTATTTATTATTGCAGTTGAAGCTAGATGGAGGAATTTAATTGAAGAATGGGTTTACAAGAATCTTCAGAATATCTTGCCTTCTACATAAGATAAAAATAAATACATTCAGGTTATAAAGCTCTCATTTATGGAATCAAGATTCTAGAATGCTATAACTGAAGGGGAACTCATATATTATTTAGTTCAAACTTTTTTCTTATTTAAATGAAAAAAATGGTATCCTATGTAGATATATTAATTTATACATATATAGATCAGTATATATTGATTTACATAGATATATTCATATCTAGATATGCTGATATCTCTATCTATCTATCCCATGTAGATATTTTGAAAAGTACCAAGTTCAAAAGTTAAAGAACACAACAAATGCAATTACTTAATCTGTCTATACCTGAACTTATTATGCATATTTGCAAACCTCCATTCTACCAGGGAGTGGACATTTAATCTAAGTCTATTCAGTGGCTCTCCTACCCTTATCCTAGTGCTCTTTCTAAATTATCAGTCACATACACTGCTCTAAGCCACTGATAGTACTGGAAAGAGCTAATATATCCCATCTTCATTGTTGCTTCAGTTCATTCAGGCAGCTACAGCAAAATGCCTTAGAATGTATAATTTACCCCCTGAGTTCCCAAAGTCCATTCATGTGCCTTTAGATCATCCTCATAGCTTAGCTCCCACCTGTAAGTGAGAACATATGATGTTGGTTTTCCATTCCTGAGTTACTTCACTTAGATTAATAGTCTCCAGTCTCATCCAGGTTGCTGTGAATGCCACTAATTCATTCCTTTTTATGGCTGAGTAGTATTCCATCATATATAAATACCACAGTTTATTTACCCAGTCATTGATTGATGGGCATTTGGGTTGGTTCCACATTTTTACAATTGCGAATTATGCTGCTATACACATGCATGTGCAAGTATCTTCTTTGTGTAACGATTTCTTTTCCTCTGGGTAGATACCCAGTAGTGGAATTGCTGGATCAAATGGTAGTTCTACTTTTAGTTCTTTAAGGAATCTACCACTATTTTTCATAGTGGGTTGTACTAGTTTACATTCCCATCAGCACTGTAGAAGTGTTTCCTGTTCACTGCATCTGTGCCAACATCTATTCTTTTTTCATTTTTTGATTATGGCCATTCTTGCAGGAGCAAGGTGATACCACATTATGATTTAGATTTGCATTTCTATGATTAGAAGGGGGTGAAGGATAAAACACTACAGATTGGGTGCAGTGTATACTGCTTAGGTGATGGGTACACCAAAATCTCACAAATCACCACCAAAGAACTTACGTAACCAAATAACACTTTTTTCCCAGTAACCTATGGAAATTAAAATTTTTTTTAAAAAGAATGCATCATTTATAAACAACAGAAATGTATTGCTCACAGTTCAGGAGACTGCAAAGTCGAAAATCAAAGAACCAGCAGATTAGGTGTCTGATGAGAGTCTGTTTCTCCTAGGAGGCACCTGCTATGTGTCCTCATCTGGCAAAAGGGAAGGGACAAGCTCCTCTGAGCTCTTTTACAAGGAAACTAATCCCATTATAAGGAACCCAATTACTTCCCAATGATCCCACTCCAGTACTATCACACTGGGGATCAGGTTTCAACAGATGAATGGGGGTGGTGCAATGCAACCATTCAGAGCGCTGCAATTGTCATTGGCCCTTGCCCTCTCTCCATACTGGCATAAGTGATAATGTGCTTGTTCTTACCTGGTGGGACCCCTGTTGTCTGCCAGCTCTTGGATTCTATCTGAACAACTCTTAGGCCCGGGGAAAATATTTCGTATTTTTCCATGTCACTTCGGGGCAAGTAGATTTTATAAAACTGACCTGGAGCTTTCTGCCTCAATAAACCCGTCTGATATTCCTTCTCTGACCACATCATTCACTGGGAACATCAAGGCCTTGCCCTCTTTTTGGTCTTTGGCACTGACTGTCTTCTACTCTCAGTTACTCATGTCTTCTCAAAGACTCTTCATCTACTCCTCTCCTGGGAACCCCCAACTTCTCTGCCTTCATCCTTCTTCTATTCCTTCCTATCTTTCCAGACTAGGCAATCTTTATCTAATAATTGACCGCAAGGATGATGAATTATATCTGACCAGCTATATACCATTCTGAATATTTTCTTTTGTCCTTAGGTCACCTAGATCTGTCACTTTTTCTCTCTGCATTGTGCTGGAATAGAATTGGCTTCCTAGATGCAGGAGGTCAATAGGCTAATAGGACATATTCCTGAAAAAGAAAAAGGACCACAATGGTTAGTAACATAACAAAATATTCCCGCCACACATGACTTATCAAAATAAAACAATGTCATTTAAAGACATAAACTATGTGTTGTTTAACCATGTTGCAACTCAGTGTAACCTAATTAATATTAAATGTTTTGTAATTATTTTTCTTAAATATAAGTTGCTCCCCTCAAATGCATATACACATTAGTAAATGAACTATTGAGTCATGTATATTTATCTTTCTAGAAATAGATATAAATGTATCTCACACACTCACACACAAAACAACCCACACACAAACCAGTGTAGCTAAGGCCCTAGGATACATCATGAATGTTAACCTAAAATAGATGCCTGAAAGAAGCCCTTTTGTAGGAGGCATTCTTCTGGTTCTCCAAAGACCGTACATGGCTGAATTCTTTATTTGGCAAACATTTCAGCTATATGTCAAACCATGAGAATCGAGCCAGAAAGTGCATAGCAACCCTGCCCAGGCAGGAAGACTCCTACCTCTGCAGATTTTTGAGAAGCACAGGGTCAAGACCTACTTTATCCAAGAGATCAAGCAGCCACAGAACTCAGCCAAGAGCCCACCCCCTGGCTCCACACAGACAGGGAGGCAATCCTGAGTTGTGCATTTTGAAGGAGCATGGTCTTTGGTCCCACATGGCTTGAGCAACAATGCTGCATAACTGTGGAGACCAGCCTGCAGCCTTGATCCACTACAGAT